TTTAAAAATAAAAACTAATTAATTAATTATTTTACTCTTTTGTCTTGTCTGTCTTGATTCCATTTTTTTCTTTTTCTCAAATTAAGTCATCTTAAAAAAAATTATCACATAAAAAATTAAAATTATTTTTAGTAATATATACTTAGTAGAATAGTAAATACTATTTAATATAATTTAAAAAAAAGGTTTTGAAAATGAATTTCAAATTATATGGGCTTAAAACTTATTTGGGATTTTTAATACCACCCACCTAATTCCATTTATTTTTAAAACTATAAAATAATGCTTTCATTTATACTATTTACATTCATAAGAAATAAATTAATTTATCTTTTAATGTATCGAATTATGAATGATACTTATCTAATTAATTCTGAAAATAGGTACCCTTTATAAATATAATTAATTCACTAGGTATTTATTTTTTTAAATTTATCTGTGCTAAATTAGAGTTATTTGATTCTAAAACATAGGTAAAAATACAAATTTAAGATATTCGCAAAATATCTTTACTTATTGATAATAATAGCAAAAGTATTCCAATCTAATGAAATAATATAATAGTAATATAAAATAAGATAAATTTAATAATTTAGTACAAAATGAATGCATTAAATAAGCTTAAAAAATAAAATATATCATACATTTATGTAGAAAATTCACTCAAGTAAATAATAAATATGACTATTTACCTTTAATTTTTTATTTATTTGAGCTAATATTTATATAGTGAACTCTTTTCAAGTCTTTTTAATATACTTTACTTTATTATTTGATACATAATCCGCCATTATATTCTTTTTTAATTATTTTCAAAATAATTTTATAAAACTATACTTCTGTAGAAAGATCGGTCTTTTAATAACTTAGTTTTCAAAGTTGAGTTTAAAATTCATTTTAGCGAGAGAGTAAATGGATAAATAAAAAATCAATATTCAAATCAATAAACTGTTTTTACAAAGGTCAAGTATAAAGTACCAAATTTGAAATATTAGTGCAATTTGCTAAAGCAAAACCTACCATTACCAATTTTATTAAGTCATATTGATAAAAATAGATATTTTAAATGATTCTAGTAAAAAAATAGTAAAAATATATTAATCATATTGAGAGATTGATCAGCTCTTTCATTTTTGAATTATATTTATATCTTTAATTAAATTTAGTATCCTTTTATTAATTTACTTATATTCAAATAAATCATGAATAGACTGAGTCAAAGTCTAAAGATATCTATTTATATTTAAAATAATTAACTTATGCAATTACATTAAGATAGCTAGAGATTAGAAATGTTAATAATAAGAATTTATTAATACAGCTTTTGAAATAGTAAAAATTAGATGGATATTCGATAAACTAAATAGTACAAATTTAATAGGAGATTTGGCTTGAATGATATTACAATCTCTTAAAACAATAGATAACTAACAAAAAAAAGAAAAAACTGATATAGATTAGACTACTTGTTTCTGCCTGTCATATCTTACAGTCTTAATAAATTTAAAAACAAATAAATTAATCATTTTGTTTACAAAGAAAAGAGAAAATTATCATTAATGAGTTAATTTATTAATTTAACCTAAATAATCAATTATTAAATAATTTTGATGGTAGTTTCTAAATTATTTGAATTTTTGTAAATTGTCGCACCAAATTAATTTTTTATCAATTATTTCTGCTCACCACTGTAATCACTCCCATTCTA